GCCGAGCAGGGAGCCCGATGCGGGGCTCGATCCCAGGACCCTGGGATCATGACCTGAGCCGAAGGCAGACGCTTAACGACTGAGCCACCCAGGCGCCCCATTGAGTCTGCTCTTTGGCAGCCTCTGCCACCAGTAAAGCATCCCAGGGATTAAGAGTGGCCTTGGAGTCAGTCAGCTGAGCTCTTCATGGACCTGAGCCTCAGTTTCCTCCTTTAGGAGTTAAGGATTGATGGGGCGGGGGCTGGCTGGCTCAGTCTGTAGAGCATGCGACCCTAGTTCTTGGGGTCGTGAGTTCAAGCCCCATGTTGTCTGGAGAGCTAACTTAAAAAAAAAAAGAGCTGCAAGGACTAAATGAGGTCATACAAATAAAGCACTCAGCAGGATGCCCCCCGCCCCCCCAAGAGTGTACTCAATACGTAGAAACTTTATTTAAAAACCTGTGAATGCAAAATTTGTGTTTTTTTCTTGAACACACATGGGCGGCCTTCTCCATAACCTCCTTGATGATAATATATGCCCGATCACACGTGCGTGTAAACCACTTGTTCCTGGGCCCTCCGCAAGGGGGCGACACAGCTTCTCAGGCCCCGCGGGGCACCTGGGCCCTCTGCTCAGGTTGCTTGCCGCTTCCGGTGGCGCCAGAGTTGTTCTCCGAGTTTTGCCAGAGAATCTTTGGGCTAGAATCCTAGGAGCGGGACGGCTGGGTCAGAGGGTCCACGTACATGTGACTTTGCCAGAAACTGTCACGTCGCCCTCCGCAGAGCTTGGACCCCTCGCCTTGCCACCCGCGGTGCATGGCAGCACCTGTTAGCCCACAGCCCCCGCAGTGGAGTGCGGCCCCACTTTGAGATGCGTGCCCATCTGCTAAACAAGAGATGGTGTTTCAGGGTTGCTTTTATTTTATCATACTGTGAGCAAGGTTGAGCATCTTCTGACAGGTTTAAGAGGCCGTGTGCATTTCTTTATGAATCTTTATTTTTAGAAGCTATACGAACCATTGTAATACAAGTTACAAATATACTTTTTCCAGGTTGTAATTTACTTTTTACCTTGCTAACGATAGCTTGCCTTTCTATGTACAAGGTTGTTTTTAATTTCAATGTAGTCAGACTTGTCAATCTTCTCCCTCACTGTATCTGGATTTTGAATGAGGAGCATTTTCCTCACTCCCAGGTTCTCAGTCATCCCCTCATTTTCCACTTTCTTCTAGTTCTTGGATGGTTTCCTTATTCCAGCAGCCCCAGCACCACTTTGTGAAAGGTCCTTCTTTCCCTGTTGGTCGGCTGGATTTTTAACTGTTTCATTGGTCTGTGTATTCAAGGGTTAGTTCTCCCCACCCAACCCAAACTGTTCTTCATTTCCAGGGTTTTCCTGGTTATTTTGGCTTGTTTTTCCAAATGGTTTGATAATAAGAATAGTGTCTAAGACAAGGGCAAATGTCCATGAAAAAAAATGGTAAGGGAAAGAGCAGTCAACAGAACCACACAGCATATATAGGGTTTTTTTTTTCCCCTTATAGAAAGATATTGTAAGGGGGAAGAAACCCAACCCGCCATGTTTGTGTGGTCGCGTCTGGATAATGTGGTTGCGGGTAGCATCCTCTTGCTATTGGCACAAACCTTGGTGGAGAAAACGTGCCAAAGGCCACCAGGCTACCTCTTCTTCCTTCATCCTCCCTTCATCCCCGAGCCACTCTGGAGATCTCGTCACCCCTCTGGACCATGGCACTTCTTTGTAAGAGAGGGAGTGCGTTACCGCGGGGTGGAGCCTGGGCTATGGCCTCCGCCACAGGTAGCTGGACAGAGCATCTTTGGCTGATTCCCAGCCCAGCCAGACCCTTTCCGCCTACAACTGGAAGGAAAGATCTGCGGGAGCCAGTGGGCGGAGACCGGGTGGGCCAGTGCAGGCTGAGGAGGGGGGCCCCTGCGAGGGTGGGGGGACAGCCCTGAGGCGCCCTGCCCCGCCCCACCCCACCCACAGCCCTCACAATGGGAGCCGGCCCAGTATCACAACCCTGCAGGTGGGAGGCAAGCAGCCAAGCAGCCGCCTGGAAGCCCGGCGGGGCCGCAGTTTCCTCCAGGGGCAGGTCATTTTGTCTGCAGACCTACTGACAGCAACCCCCGAGGCAGAGGGCTGGTGTCCTGGGGGATGGAAAAGCTCCTGGCGGCGGAGCGGCCTCGGGCTGGAGACCCACAGGAGGCGGCGGTGCGGCCCAGGGCTCGGGGCCCCAGGTGCTGTGGGGCGCTGCGGCCGGGCTGCCAGGACATGGAGTACTACTCTGTGAGCACCGAGCAGATGCTTATCTTCTTCCTAGCCGTCTGGTTCTTCTACTTCTTCTACCTTCAGGACTTCTGAGCGGCCCTCCCTCCCGCTGTCCCCGGGGCCGGCGGGCCCCAGCCAGGAGCGAGCGACCTGAACCGGGCCACAGAGCGGCCAAGGACTGAAGCCTTCCTTAGCCCCGCAGGGAGGATGGCCAGGACGCCAGGTCGCCCTGCTCCTCGGGGATGGAGATTTGGGGCCCAGGCCCCTGCTCTCGGAGGGCCCAGGGCTGCGCGCCCCACACGGGCTTGGTGTCTCGAGTACATGACAGGAAAGGGGACGACGTGTGCCCCACGGGACCTGCGGCCGGGTGAGGGGGCAGAGGGCCACATCGAGGCTTTGCACTCCTGAGTTTTCTCAGAGTCAGTGGGGCCCAGCTCCGTGCTCACTGGTCAGCTGCTCTGTGCCTGGCCCGGGGATGCTGCTGAGAAGTAAACTGCCCTCTGAGCCTCATTGGTGGCAAGAGAACGGTTATTCCCATTTTCTATGGGAGAGAATCAGCCCGGCCATGCTTAGCGTTCTGGCAAGGGTGGTGAAAGACCACATCGTTTTGCGGGACTCTTTAGAATAAGGTAAAGGGGCGCCTGGCTGGCTCAGTAGGTACAGCATGTGACTCTTGATCTTGGGGTTCTGAGTTCAAGCCCCATGTTGGGTATAGAGCTTAAAAAAAAAAAGAGTAAGATCAAAACGGATGCATGTCCAAGGACGTGGGTGTGGCTCCACCTGGGTACTGGACAGGAACTGTCCTCCCCAGGGGCTCCCAAGCCTGGTTTCCCACCACGGCCAATCGGGGAGCAGGAGCCGGTTTGAAATGCAGATCATGAGGCCTCTCCACAGGCGGGGAGGCACCTCTGCCCTTATCTGGGGGCACCTCATGCAGACCCCACGCTGGAAGCACTGCCTCTGGCTCCCTGGGGTGGGGCGGACAGGGTGCCCCCAGATGGCAGGGTGCCCCCAGACGGGGTAGTGAACCTACCCAGGAGGGCTGAGCGGGCTACTACCCTGAGGCCACCACAGGCTGAGGAATGGAATCCCCCCCACCCCCAGCGCTGCTTCTGCCACAAATGTGGGGCTCTTCTTACAATACATTGAGGCAAGGAGGGTAAGGCAAGAATCTGGAAAGGCCCAGACCTTTAAAGCCAAAGAGCACCCAGAGGCCTCACTGGCTAAGAGGAAAGCCCACCAGTGCAGACCCTGAAGTCTCGGTGAGGCTGCCGCCTGCGGCAGGGGAAGGAATTTCCTTTGGGGACACACAAATCCCCTAGGAATCTCTAGCCCCACCCCAGATCTCTAACTTCCTGGGTCTGGACTAGAGTCCAAGAATCAGAGCTTTTAATAAGCTTTTGTAATAAGTTCTGCTCCTCCCTGCCAGCACCTCATTCCCTGTCCCCCCCCCAACCCCCGGGGGCAGGGGAGGCAGCGGGCCTGTGGGAGGGGAGGAGAGCAGGTGGCTGGGATTTCGGGGCCCACAGGTGCCTGCCTGAAACCTCACGACGAACTGGTGCAGCACTTCCAGGCCCTCCTTCCCTCGGACTCACAGGGACTCACGGGGAGCGGGGAGAGTCCGGCGCACTTTCTCACGGACATTCTTCCAGTGACTAGAATCTTCCATGCAGTAAACAGTTGTAGGAGTACAGAGTTCCCCCTGGGACTCCACAAAACTAAATTTTGAGTGAAAAGAATGCAGCCGAGTTGTTTAAGTACTTCTCCTGCCAGGGGCCCCGTGCAGGAAAGCTCGGTGGGCCTCGGAGGGCAGTGCGGCCAGCAGCTTGGTGGGTGCCGGGCCTCCCCACCGGCGCCCGCACCCACGTGCAAACCCTCACATGTCAGATGCATCCCGAAACGTGACTTCTCATCTGTCAAGCCACTGACCTGAATTGCAGCCTGACGGGGTTGCCGTGCCAGCTCGAGGCTGCCCTGTGACAGCCCCACTTGGTGTGGGTGCCGGTGGGGGACAGACATATGACGACAGACAGGCACTGTGTCAGGAGGAAGCCCACAGCGGACAGACGTCAACCATCGCTTTATTAAGGCTCGGAGTGGTCTGCCAGTTGGGGGCTGAGTCATTCACTCCAGACCCCCGCCACGGAGCACTCCCGGCTCCCGGGCGACACCGAAGGCGGAGGCTGTCTTCGAGATCCCGAGCCACAGTCTGTTGTGCTGCACTCACGTCTACCCTGCGGGCCGGGATGTGTGTGCGGGCCGGGATGTGTGTGCGGACCACGTGGGGGGCCCCCCAGCAGGGTGGGGCCGGCTCTCACGGCCCTGGGCTCTGGCGGGGGAGGGGGTGGGGTGGCAGGGAGGCACAGGAGGGCAGGGATATTCCCCATCCCTCCCAGCCCAAACTATGGCTTTGTTATCCTATTGCCACTTGAGCAGGAGTGGGGCGCCCCCTCCCACCCCATACTCTGGCCCGTGTGCTACACTGTGGAAGGAGACAAAGGGGAAAGCCCCTGGGGAAGAAAGGGCCCCTGTGTGCCTGGGACCCTGGCCAGACCTCAGGGGATCCTGACCCCCACTCTCTCAGCGACTCCCCTCGACGGGTCTTCTCGGGCCGAGGCTGCTCCCTCAGAAGTGGACCCGCAGCACGTCCTGGCTGGCAAACGGCCGCCGGCAGGCGGCGCACGCCACAGGCAGGGAGCGCTGCTTCTCACCCAGGCACGGCCGGCACAGGAGGTGGCCGCAGGGAAGCTGGTACACCGGCTCCTTTTTGAAGTAGGGAGAAAACACTCTTTTGCAGGAGGCGCACTCGGGGCCCGGGACGCTCCCAGGCTGCTCTGGTAAATTAGGGAGGAAAATAAGCCAAGGTTAGGGAAAGTGGCCCCCTGGCTCAGGCTCTGTCCCGATGGCCGGGCAGATGCCTGGAGCGGGACAAGAAGCTTCCCCACCCCCCACCCCTGTGGCAGAGTGTGGCTGTATCCCTCCTGAGGCCACCTCGGGCTGATCCGGGAGGACAGGGTGTTGCGGAGCCTGGGAACCTGGGAGGCCTCCCCTCAATGATTAAATCTTGGTGCTCCAATGAGTGCTCAAAAAAAGCTGGCTTCTGAGGGCAGGCAGGCCACACCGAGCCCTCCCTCCTGGTCTCCGAGCAGGACTTACTTTCCACTGGGACAGGCTGCCAAGGTCAGAATGGGGCACAAGCGCATCCTGACAACAAAACTACAAGGCGAGATGCCACAAGACAAGGAAAAAGCAGAGAGGGGTCAGGTGCAGCAGGGGCCGGGCAGGTTAGCGGAGGAAGGAGGGCACCAGAGGGGCAGGGCTGAGGTCTGTCTGCAGCAGACCTGCCTGCTGAGCCTGGCACCTGCTTCTCTTCAGCCCAGCAGCCCCCCTCCTGACCTGCCAATCCCCTTCCCGTACTGCAGGTTCTCTCTTCCCCTGCTTCCTGCAGGGCCTCCCTGAATGAGGGCCACAGGGGCCGAGTCCTGCCACCTCCTCCCCAAGCTGCATCCGCTGTGCTTCCTTTTCTTGTGGCCCTGGCCTCAGGAGGCTGCTCTTTCTTCCCCAGTCCACACCCCTCCGGAGGGGGTCAGGGTGGCCTCTTGGGGGAAGAAAAGGGACCAGCCATGCAGAAAGAAAGGGATAGCAAGTACAAAGAATGGCTGGTCTAGAACCAAACCAAACCAAACCAAGAGAATGGCTAGTCCATTAAAGACAGGACCCAGAGGTGTGACATATGAGACTGGCTTTGGGTGAGACTGCAAAGGGGAGGGGGGGCAGGCTGGGGCACGCAGGACTTCACAGGCAGCGGGAGTTTAGATGTTATTCCAAGCTCAACTGGATGCGCTGAGAGGCATCTAAGAAGTGCAGAGCCACGAGCTGGTTGAGAGCATAAGAAGACCCCTCTGGCCCCTGTGAGCGATGGGCAAGGGTGGCTGCCGGGGAGCCGCAGGGCTGCTGAAGGATTCGGGGGCCACGGCACAGGAGCTGGGGCCGGGGGGCAGCAGAGAACGGGGCTCTGAGGCATGAGTACCGACAGGTATTGAGGAGTACCGATAGGACTTGGGGATAAATGGGTATCAGGAATGTCGAAGGAAACCAAGGATGATGTCCATGTTATAGGCCTGACCAAAGGGTAGAAGATGCTGCTGTTTATCAGCAATGGGGTTATGGGAGGTGGGGGGAACCTCCAGAGGGTGTTTGCAGTTCTGAGTTAGAATTTCACTCAAGAAATATCCATGAGTTTCCCATGTGGAGGTGCCAGGCAGCTGTCAGGGAGGTTGGGGTCTGAGCTCCAAGGAGAGGAAGGAGCTACAGGTGAGTATGGGTAGTCACCGGCCGGTGCGCTCTTGCTGGGAGGACAGAGAAGAGAGTCCAGCACCAGAGTCTGGAAGAGACAGAAGAGTCAGCAGTGGAAACTGCAAAGGGATGGTGAAAACAGAGAGAAAGAGTGTGCCATCCGGAAGGCCAAGCAAGAGAGAAGGTGTTTCTGAGAAGCCGCATCAGACACTGCTTGGAGTCCACGGAAACCACCGGTCACCTGGACAAGAAGGTTCTGGGGGCTGGCCAGGGTGGAAACATAATCAGAGAGACAGGGGGTGGGTATGAGAAGCGGAAGGGGTAAGATGGCCTGGGATCCAGACAAGAGCTCAGCCCGGCTCTGGATGGGCAACAGGAATCGAGTGTCTGCCTTATCATGAGCTCCTTCAGGCTTCATCTTGTAAAAACTGTCCCAGCATTTCAGCAGGTTCTCTCACTTTGTAGCCTAGTTGATTCTATCATCTAATGTGGTCCCAGATTCAGGGTAGGCAAAAACTGGCTCAGTAAGCTGCCCCAGTTCTTTGCTGAAACAACACCAGGGACAATGTTGACAGGAAGGGATGAAGAGGACAATGCCAGACTCCCTCCAGTTACATAAAATAAACCACACACAGGTCAGATGGGAGATAGATTAGATATGAAAACTAAACAAAGAAGGAGAAACAAACAAAAGTCCTTAGGACAGAACAATTAATATTAGATCTTACCCAAAACACCACAGAGCTGCCAAGCCCTAGGTCCACAGAATTACTAAGACTTAACTAAAGAAAGCCTTTCTTGTGAAGAGTTACACTTCACAGCAGCCCCTCAACTCCCCCCCGGAAAAGGAAAGAGACCGGGTCTCCCTGAGGCCCGAGCACCAGGGCTGAGGAAGCGGGGCATGGCGGTAGGCAGAGCCCCGGAGGCGAAGCCCAGCCTCCTGTTCCAGGGCTCCCAGGAGACAGATGGGGCCCTGGTTACCCGAGCCGGCGCCTGGCCTCCAGGAGGTGCTGCTTTCTCTCGCGCCCAGCTGCTGGAGCTGCCCCCTGGCCAGCCGAGCCGTGAAGGAGGGCATGGAACCAAGGGTCGACGTCAAGGCAACTTCCAAGCTTTGTGACAGCTTCTGCTCATGGGACACCGGACCTGACAAAAGATGCACAGACCACAATATCCAGAAAGAGGTTCAGCAAGAGAAGAGCAAGCCGTTAAGTCCTTGGAGGACTACTCGAACAGCACTTCCAGCTTCGAATGGACACAAATGTAAAGAACCTCCTCCAGGGGCGCCTGGGTGGCTCAGTTGGTTAAGCGACTGCCTTCGGCTCAGGTCATGATCCTGGAGTCCCGGGATCGAGTGCCGCATCGGCCTCCCTGCTCGGCGGGGAGTCTGCTTCTCCCTCTGACCCTCCCCCATCTCATGTGCTCTCTCTCTCATTCTCTCTCTCAAATAAATAAATAAATA